TTAAATAAGGATATAGAAATAACTGAGACAAATGATGGAGTTATCCTTTACCATAATATATTTTCACAATGCCTAACAGTCCTCCATTTAATCCAGAGATTGGCAGGTCAGGGAACAAGTTTGTAATTTGCAGATGAGATGTAATAAAAATGTTATAATTCATGGGTGAGACACCCAGACTACATTTTGTATTATGAGTTTAACTTGACTTATAACTCTTTCTAGAATTTAAACTGTCATAACCGACCATATGCGTTGACTTTTATAGTGATTTAATGAGTTGTTTGGTGAAAATAAATGTTGACAAAGTTACAAAATTTTCTGACTCTTCTTCTTTTTTGTGTGTGGTTGTTCTCCCTTTGGATACTAGAGCTGGCTGTCTTACAGTAGCCTAAGAGTTTCTTTTTCCCCATAATCCACAACCAGGATCTTGATCCTTGGATAAATTTTGCTCATTTTTCATGCTTGGTCTTGGTGGATGGATCATGACAAAAAGAGCCTAACAAAACATATTGATTAACCCCTGGTGACAGCAAGATAATGGTATAAATTTTGGAAATATGGGACCCAAAAGCTATTATATACCAAGTGCTAGCTGATTCCTCAGAAAAGTGCTTCATCTTCAGGATGTGGTTTGGCTTCATCTTAATTTTGCTGAGGGGCCATTTTGCAGCAATTCAGATAGCTGGTCATGATGCCGGATTTGAAGGGTGAATGATTATCTTGTAAGGACAAGCTTAATCCTATAGAAGCTCATAGGAGAAGCTCAGCTATAGTGATAGATGACATTAATACTGAAATAAATGAAATAATGCCAAGTTGTAGTTGTAGTAGCATAGCAAAGAATCTTGTCAAATGAGCTGTAATTTGAGCAGGCACACATTTTATACTCATTAAGAAAAGCAAGGAACAACTAATTGGCTTATTATGCGCTCTCTAATTGGTTCAGCTAACTCTCGGTTATGGCATAAGGGAATAAATGGGGGAATCCTGTTTTGGGATTTGGCTGGGCCAGAGAGACCTCATGAAATTTCCCTACATGATAAAAATGATTAGATGCACCACCATTTAGCAAACATAATAAGGAAATAACCCATAATCTATAAAGAGCTGCCTAACCATTCTGGCTGTGTGGTCAATGAGCCGGCATGAGCGTAAACCACCCTGGGAGAGTGATCTGATGTGTGGGAGGGAATGACCTCCTTTTAGGGCACCTAAGAGCTTGCAGAGTGATTTGCTCTCTTGTCCTCCAAGAAGCCATTTACCTCACAGGGGTGACATTTTTCTCACCCATGAGTTTCACCTGAGCTGCTGTTGTTATCTGCATATGTAAAGGGATGTGAAAATGTGAGGGAGTTATCTAGGTTGTATGAAACCCTAAAACACTTTTTCTTCAATTGCCTGCATGTTTCAGTCAAATGGTTTTTGATAATTTCAAGATGGTTTTTGATAATTTCTTTAATTTGCATTTCACTTTGGATATGTGGCCTAGACTATGTCACAGGAGGCAAAAGTATTAAAGTTGTCGAATGAAATGTTTTGCAAAGTGTTTTAGAGAGGACCCATAAAGCTATGTTAAAAAAAATTTGCTTGGGATATGTAGCCCAATGATAATTGATGCATTTTATCCTTTAGCATTTATTATTTAAGCTCAGGTTTTAATATTTAAATCCATAAACATAGCTTATTATCTGAATGCTAAAATAATGAAGTTAGATGCTTTTAACATCAGAACTTGACGACTTTTTACCACCACCACTGCTAATACCTTGTTCAAGATACCATCATCACACCTGGATTATTTCACCACTCTCTAAACTGGTCTCCCATTTCCACCTTGTATCTGGCTGCTATGCTTCTATTTTCCATACAGTGACCAGAGTTATCCTGCTACAACACAAATTAATTTTGCCATTTTCCTACTAAAAACTCTTTGATGACTTTCCATCTCACTCAGAACAGTCTATGGTTCTCACCATGGCTGAGGGCCCTGCAAGATTGGCCCCCAGCAACCTCTCTGTCCTCTTTTTGAGTCCTCGTCACTCTCTAACCACACTGGCTTCCTGGTTATTCCCTGACCACATGAAGACCTCTCTGGAGTGCTGCTGCCCCATTATCTGTGTGGCCCAATAGATCAGTTCTTTCAGAATCTCTGCTCAAATCTCCCCTGATCAGAGAATCCTTGTGTGGCCACTCTACAAAATCGATGGTGTGCTCAATACCATCTATACCTTTTCCTTTCCCTAAGTCTTCTTCATAGAAGTTATTACCTGATATTTCCCACATTTATCTTTTGATTTGTTTATTGCCAGGTTATTCCAGCCCGTAAGTGTACGTATGAGGTCAGAGACTTGGTATTTTTGTTTATTTGTCATGGCAGATAGAATTTTCTAAAATGGCCACAACAAGATCTCCCATTGTCATGTTAGAATGTGACATTGATACTGTTCCCGTTGAGAGGTGAGGGGTCTATGCTTCTTTTGCCTCTTTTCTTTGAATTTTGGATGGTCTGTGGCTATTGGCAGAAGAGATGCTATGTGATTTCCAAGGCTAAATAATAAAAGGCAATATAACTTCCTTCTGGTCCTCTTGGGACACACTCAGTCTTGGAACTCAGCCACCTTGCTGTGAGAAACCCAGGCTACACAAAGAGGCTATGTTTAATTGCCCTGGGGGAGGTCCTAGTCAACAGCCAGCATCAATTATCAAACACATGATTGAGGAAGACTTTGCAATGACTCCAGGCTCCTGTTACCATCTGGCTGCAACTGTATCAAAGACCTCAAGAGGCAACCACTTAGGTAAGCCTAGGCAATCAAACCCAAGAACTATGAGGCACAATAATAAAATGGTTGTTATTTTTGAAGCCACTAAAATTTGAGATACTCGTTTGGCAGCAATGAATATCCAGAACACTGCTATGTTCCCTAGAGCCTAGAATAGTGCCTGAAACATACTTCTTCAATAAATACTTTCTGAATAGACAAATGGTACAGAACTTCGGAGGTAAAAATATACTGGTTTCTTGATGGAAACATCTTTCAGTCTTTCCTAATTTAATGGCAACTCTTGATTAATTTATTTACATATTTTTATAGCCCCTTATATATTAAAAAGTTTCAAGTTGGCATTTCCCTTTGAATTTTTAAATACATATATAAGTAAACAGTAGACTCACGAGATCTGAGTAAAGGAAGCTAAACTTAAGGTGAAGCTTAAACATCTTTGTTTCTATTTTTGTTCATTTGCTATACAAAAAGATCTTCAACAGAGTGAATGTTATCAAGTCTATAAAAAGGCTTTGCTGTGAAAGAGGTTGAGGTCCCGGTACTACCTGTTGATTGTCTTTATCCTTGCTTTATTTCTTCCAAATTGTAACTGCTAATCAATCATGACTCACACAGAGAATAGTAAAGTTTTAGCCTCGCCTAGTTTACATTTTATATTATTACTATAGCAGCATTTCAGGCAAAAGCAAAAAGCAAAGCAAAAAGCAAGATCAGTTTTTAAAGTCACCGTAACTCTCATGAAATAAAATTATTTTAAAATGGGTTCTTTTGTGGGTAGTTCAAGCCATTCACATTTATTGAAGAATTGATAAGTGGGGCATATTTCTGTTCATCCTGTAGAGTTGAACTTTGTTGCTTTGTTTTCTATCTTGAGCCATTGTGATATCTACAATGACCTTTAGATTTTAGATAATTTTATACTACTGAGTGTCTATTGTGCTGACCTGTGTATAACACTGTTCTGAGTACTTCCTGGAGGGCAGGTCTTGTCTTGATGGAGAAAATATTCACATGCTACGCATCTGATAAAGGGCTGATAACTAGAATCTATATAGAACTCAGAGAAATCAACAAGAAAAAATCAAACAATACCATCAAAAAGTGGACAAAAGACATGAACAGAAACTTTTCAAAAGAAGACAGACTAATGGCCAACAAACATATGAAAAAATGTTCAACATCTCTAATCATTAGGGAAATGCAAATCAAAACCACGAAGAGGTATCACTTAACTCATGGCTTTTATCAAAAAGTCCCCAAACAACAAATGTTGGTGTGGATATGGAGAGACAGGGACACTCATACACTGCTGGTGGGACTGCAAACTAGTTCAACCTCTATGGAAAGTGATATGGAGATACCTCAAAGAACTAAAAATAAAACTACCATTTGATCCAGCATTCCCATTACTGGGCATCTACCCAAAGGAAAAAAAAGACTTCTATAAAAAAGACACTTGCATTCAAATGTTTTTAGCAGCACAATTCACAATTGCAAAGTTGTGGAAACAACCCAACTGGCCATAATTACATGAGTGGATTAATAAAATGTGGCATATGTATACCATGGAGTTCCACTCAGCCACAAAAAAAACAATGGTGATCTAGCACCTCTCGTATTATCCTGGACAGAGCTGGAGCCCATTCTACTAAGTGAAGTATCACAAGAATGGAAAACACAAGCACCACATGTTCACTATCAAATTGGTACTAATTGATGGACACTTACGTGTACATATGGTAGTAACATTCACTGGGTGTCAGCTTGTGGGAGAGGAGAGTGGGGTGTGTGTATTCACACCTAATGGGTGCAGTGTGCACTGTCTGGGGGATGGGCACACTTGTAGCTCTGACTTGGGTGGGGCAAAGGCAATATATCTAACCTAAACATTTGTACCCCAGCAATATTCTGATATTTAAAAAAATAATAAATAAAAAAATAAAATGAGTTCTCTCCTTGCTAAGAAAGTCCTGTTACACTCAGAGCTATACTGTTTTCCTCTTCACTACCTAGTGTCAAAGCAATGGGGTGTTTCTAGGGTACAACCCTTATAAATGTCACTTGTGTCCAATCTTAAAAGTCAACCAACCTGTTGCAGTTTACTTGGCTTTAGACACAAAAGAGTCAATCTTCCATCTTGGGACAGTTTCCAAGAGGTCTGGGAATGGCGTTTCTTTCTTCTTTGATTTAGACTGGCTTGTCTTTTGGCAGGGCTCTGGACCATGAGAGGCAGCTTTGCTGTTACCATCTGGCTGTTCAAGCATATAACTTAAGTCTTGCGGAGATATTAGGGAGAAGGCCAGGTCTGGCTGCCGTTCTTTTTCTTTGAAAACATGCAAGAGCAACATAAGAAATGGCCGCTTCATTTAAGGTATCATCCCATTGCTCATCTGTGCCGGATCCAAAAGCAAACCTGAGCATTAAAGGGTACCTCAGGATTGGGGAATCATCTCATAACTAATGCTTTCCAAATCCCTGCCACCCTCTAGACTTCCTCCTTGGGGAGAGTGGTGTCCCTCCAGGCTAGGGCTTTAGACCTGTTCCATGCCCTTTAGTCTCTCTTTAATCTTGATGATTTTCTGTGATTCCTAGGGGCTGACAGCAAGTTTGCAAAACAGCACGGATGAATAAAGTCACATTAGAAATTTAGTGTGGGCTTGAGGCAGAACACAAGGAGCGGGAATTTAAGACCTAGCACTCGGAGACTGTGGAGCTATGGCGTGAGATACTTCATGCACATCTGTGATGAATATCAGTGAAGATCCAGCCAAGCTATCCTGCTGGCTTGTGGGTGGAGCAGAGGCAGACCTTTCTCACCAAACCCTGCATTGTTTTTGTTTGAAGCCTTGAATCTTTTTGTTTTAAACTGCTACATTTTGGGGTGGTTTGTAATGCAGCAATAAATATCGCCATTCCCACTCCTGCCTCCTAGAGGAAGCCCCATTGAACTATGTCTATTTTTGGAATCTTCTGGTAGCTACTGACAAATATGAAGAAATTTTCTATTTTATGATTTACAATTGTAGACATTGTGTTATTGATTTGTCCCTAAAACAGTAAATACTGTTAAAATTTTATTTTAATGAAATTGGGTTCTTTTTCGAGGCAAAGAAAATGACACAGTTTATGGAAGAGTACAATGTGGCCCCACTCTGCCCCACTCTCAATTTCTGCTGCCCAAAGTCAATCACTTTCAATTCTTTTAGCTTGTCCTGGTATTATCTTTTGAATTCCTCAATAACATACTCAGATAAAATTTTTTGTCTTCATGCTTTAGACACTATCTATTGACTTCCTATTACAGAAGATAAATTTTCAGGTTTCTTAAACTGCACACTCTACCACCACCCTGCACCTGCTATACATACTTTGATTTCTTCCAACTCTCGGTAGAATTATCACAATTTTGGGTTAAGTCAATGACTGGTATCACATTTCCATGGTTATGTAAATATTATTCACAATTTGGCTAGATATGTACTTTAGTTACATTTTCTTTCTTGAACAACTGTTTTTCCCTGGAGTTAATAAATATTTCAATTTTTCTCTTGCTTAGCTTTCTGTGTAACTGTTAACACTTCAGTCTGAAACTGAAGTGTTTGTGAATGTAACTAAATGTGTATTCACATCGAATAAGTGCATGCAACTTCTCTCTACCATAAAATATATAAGATAATATATCTGTTTCATTTTTTTGGAGACATCCTTCCTTGAGTTTCCGCTCTGCTCAAATCTGCTACATGACTGTTCCCTGGGGCTTCCTTATCTTGGAAATGTCTTTCACTTTTCTTCTGTGTTGGATCCCTTGTGTATTAGTTGTCTATTGCTATGTAATGCATCATCTCAAAACTTAGCATAAAATAACAAACATTTATTTTTCTCACAGATTCTGTGGGTCATAAATCTAGGAACAGCTTCGGCGGATGGCTCTGGTTCAAGTTTCTCAGAATCTGCTTCTAAGCTCACTCAGATGGCTCTTGGCAAGAGGATTCAGTCTGCCAAATGGACATCTCTGTGGGGTGGATAATAGCATGGAAGCTTGTTTCTCCCAAAGTGAGTGACTGGAGAGAAAAAGAGCGGGAGAGAACAACTAAGAGGGAATCTCACCTCAGAAGGAATAGACTGTTACTTCTGCCATCTTCCCATCTTCTATTGGCCACCTAGACCAATCCTTGTCCAGTATGGGAGGGGAGTATACAAGGCTGTGAATACCAGGAGGAGGGACTCATTTAGGGCCATCTTGACGACTGGCTACCACTCTTTCTCTCCTCTTGGATTCCATGTTTTCTGTCCTTGGTTGACTCCTTCCTTTCAGTGGATTGTACCTTCTAGAAGCACCTTGAAAAAGGATGCCTAGGGAAGTAATATTTTTTAGATTTTGCATTTGTGCATGCCTTTAGTCTATCCTCATCCTTGAGAGATGGTTTAAGTTTAGAATTCTAGGTGGATAGCATTTGTCTTCAGAATTTTGAAGGCATTCCTCCATTATCATGCAGTTCCCAGATGCCATTCTGAATCGCCATTGTTATGTGTCCCTATTTATTTATTTATTTATTTGAGACAGAGTTTCCCTCTGTCACCCTGGCTAGAGTGCAGTGGCATCAGCCTAGCTCACAGCAACCTCAAACTCCTGGGCTCAAGTGATCTTCCTGCTTCAGCCTGTTGAGTGGCTGGGACTACAGATGCACCACCATACCTGGCTAATTTTTCTATTTTTAGTAGAGATGGGTTCTTGTTCTTGCTCAGGCTAGTCTCGAACTCCTGACCTCAAGAAATCCTCCTGCCTCGGCCTCCCAGAGTGCTAGTATTTTTGTGTTCTTGAAGCTTTTAGGATCTTCTCTTTATTCCTTGTATTCTAGTGTTTCATATTTATGTGTGCTTTCATTTCCTTCATATATTTTTGTATTTTCCTGGGAGTATGATGAGCTCTTTCAATTTGGAAACTCAAGCTCTTCAGTTCTGTGAAGTTTTCAATTTTTATTTATTTGATAATTTTCTCAGTTATCTCTTTCTGGGGTTGTGTTTGTTGCATGTTTAATGTATATCGATTTTCTGATCTAAGCATTATTTTTTCTATCTTCTATTAATTTTTCTTTGATCTACTTTCTGAAAGACTTTCTCAACTGTATCTTCCAAAGGTTTTATTGATTTTGAAATTTCTGCTTTTATGTTTTTAACTTCCAAGAAGTCCTTTGTTGTTTCATGAATGTTCCTTTTTCAAAAACATGTTGTCCTTTCATTCTGTTTTTATCATTTTGTCTATTTTTCTGATTGGATGCTGTCTGAAAATGTCTGGCTTAGTTATTCTGGACTGTCTATTAGCACGTAAGAGTGATGCATCTAAAGCTATTGGAACTGTGTGTGCAGAGGCAGGGCTTGTCAAGACCTGGGTTTTAGTTTGGGGTAATAGGCTGGGGCTATTTCATTGGTAGATATTCCAACTCTCAGTATTTATAGGTCTTTTTATCTTCCTTTGTTGAGTTTCTTCAAGGTAGAATTATCCAATCTCTTACTTAGGGTGTGTGTGTGGGATGGGTAACAAAGTAGGTTCAGGATTCTAGGAGCCAATTAGGGCAAAGGGAATGGGGGTTCTCCTGGAAACTTATTTATGACTCCACCCAGTTTTCCTGTTTTGTTAGGGTGTTTCTCAGCTCTGCTGGCACCCCTGAGTCTGGAGATTGTCAGGGTTTAGCCTCTTGGTAAATTGCCAGCATGGAGAGAGAGGCAGTCACCTGACCCTGTCAGCTAAAAGGGGGGCTGAAGGGGAGGGGTTTAACCTCTTCATTGACAGACTTCCAGCCAAAGCCTCTCTGTCTCAGGCTGAGCCTTCCTTTCACCTTCATCATAGGCACTGGCTCTGTTGGGGGAACACTTGCCTTGTTAGTTCTGCACACAGAGGGGCATTTAGTAGAACACCAGTTCTCAAAGTGTGGTCCAGGAGTCTCTGAGGGCTGAAAGGTCAAAGATTTTTTATAATAATACAAAGATATTATTTGCCTTTTTCACTCTCATCCTCCTATGCGTGTACAGGGGCGTTTTCCAGAAGCAACATGATGTGTGATATCACAACAGATTGAACACAGAAGCAGATATGAATATCTAGCTGTCTTCCATTAAGGCAGACATATAGAGATTGGTAAAAATATGAAACAAGGCCACTGTTCTCACTATACTTTTTGGTTGTGGAAAATATAATTATTTCTCATAAAATATGTGATTCATGTTAACATATACTTGGTTTATGAGTACTACTTAAATGAATTAATAAATAAATACTAAAGAGTATCAGTTTTAGAGTAAATGTTGAAATATATAACCAATGTGAACAAAAGCTCTTTGGGGTCTTCAATTATTTTTAATAGGGCAAAAGGATCTTAGACCAAAAACACTGGGAACTCTGCATGAGAATAATACTCCTGGATTCTTCCTTCTCCCTCCTGGACTCCTCCCCAGGCATCAAGGAGTGGCTGACTTAATTGGAGAGAGTGGGAAAGGAACCCAGAGGCATGGCTCAGCCCTTTCTTCTCCCTTTCCTTTAGGTGATTCTGGGATCTTAAACTGAAGCTCTGCCTGTCTGTAGCAGAGCAGGTGTTCTCGTCGGCTCTTGGCGATGCATCAGCGTGGAGCCTGCTGGCTGTGTTCTGTGGTGAGACTTGAGTTGGCCCATCATAGCTTGCAATTATGAGTAGGTAAATCTGTCTAATTCAGGAGTGAAGTAGGCACATGTATCCGATTCAGGCAGAGGAAGCTATGTTTTCTAATATTAGCTTTATCAGTAATTAAGGAGACGTTAAACTTTTTAAAAATGTTCACTTCTGAAGTGATTTTTAGACTTACGGACCACTTACAAAAATAGTACAGAGGATTCCTGTATACCCTTCAACCAGCATTCCTTGATGTTAAATTATAATAACGTCTTACATAACCACAGGACGAAGATAGAAAACCGGAGATTCATAATACATTACAATTAACCAATCCATGGAACCTTATTCGAATTTCATTAGTTTTTCTGCAAATCTTTTTCTGGTCCAGAATCCAATCCAGAATTCTGCATTAAAGGTGACATTTTGATCTCCCATTGCCTGCCTCCTGCATCTACATCTGGACTGGTTGTGTACTCAATTGATGGAAAAGGGGGGGTGTCATTTATCAGTCTGACTTGTCTCCCAATGCCTTGGAATCTTGTATCTTCCTGGGAGTCTATAATGTGGAGAGATTAGTTCCTCATGTCTTCTTCCCTCTACCCTCCAGTGTGGCAGTTTCTTGCCTTCTCTCTTTGACTTGGTACTGACCAAGCTGACCTCCTTTCCATCGTTCAGACCTTTGTTGATTACTCTCGTCTGCTGTTGTTGGCTCTCTTGTATTCCCATGGTTTGCTTTCTGAGACTTCCATTTTTCTCTCCCCAGTTTCTCCCCGGTTAGTGGACAAGCCCCACCCATACTCTGCAAACTTGGGAGTTAATGTGGTTTTTTTATTCCTTTAATATTAATATTAGTTGAATTTTAAAAAGGAGCAGAGATGAATAGGCTTAATCTCCTTGTTTAATTAGAAATCTGGCTCTTGATGTCTAATCCACAATTTGTACATTATTTTTGCTTTTCAATTGAAAACCTTATTTAGATCACTTTTATGACTAACGGAAGCTTTATAGTCATTCTTATGTTAAATAAAGACTATGGAAAAATTGAGCAGCTTTTTCACTAATGTTACAGGTATATATATATATTTTTTACTATAATCAGACACATCTAGGTCCTGATTGGAATGCTTTTCTGCAGCTTACCTTGCATTTCTTAGCTTGGGATGAACAGCCCTGTCCAGGGATTTGCTTTATCCTTTAGGCTTGGCTGGTGTCATGGTGCCTTCAGCTACTCACTTCTCAGAGATCAACTGTGGGTCTCTTCTAGTCTCCTCCTCTTGCAGTTTCTAAAAGAAGGATTGCTGGAAGGAAGAAACACTATCTTATCTCTGGTTCCCAGATCCCAACTTTCTTCTATCATTTTTTCACACTCAACGGAAAAGGAAGAGTGAGATTATAGCTATGTAATATTTTTTGATACTGAAAGTATTCAATTATCCTTGATTACTTTTCCTTGAATTAAAAAGGAATTAGAAAGGTTCTTTACAGCTTATAGTATTTTACCTTGATATGTACATACTTCTTATCTCTATACTTTTGCTTTGTAGTCATATATCCATAAATAATGTGTTACATTATTTTTTGTGTATTTAAAATTTTCCTCTTGGGATGGAGAGTGAGGAATGGGAACAAGATGGGCAAGGGACTCTAGGGGGAAGTGTCTTTGTTTTATTTCTTACAAGATAAAGATCTGCAGCACATATGACAAAATAGTAATGTTTATTCATTTTGGGTGATGGGAATGGGTGTTTATGATATGTATCATTTGCACTCTCAATTTTTAAAGTAGACTTTCAAATTTAAAAGTAATATTTTTCAAAGCTATCTATAGCTTGATTTTAGTAGGAACAATTGCGATTACTTGGTCGACTGTCATTTGAGAATGAATCAGTTTTCGTAAGTGTAATGATTCTGTACAACGGAAACTTACCTTTTGGTTATATATAAACTATATTTCAGAGGCCACACTTACCTTGGTATGGGATAGCATAACAGCAGTTACAAAGCAATATTTCTATGTATTGTCTGTTCTCATTTGGTCTAAGCAAAGTTCAGCTTTCTCTGGTTTGGCAAAATAGTCTGAAAGTCTCTAAGAATGTCTGTGTCATGTAAACTTCAGAAACGTCTCCTCTCCTGGATAGCTCTAGTCATAACCCAGTTACTGCAGATGCCATGTCAGCTACATCACCAGTGTCCACCCAGGCACTGCAGCTGCCAGTGTCTGTGATAAGTTGCTTGATGTCGGTTACCTGGTGACTGGCAATGAGGGCTCTGACTTCTGTGCCCTG